GGGAAAGAGAAGGGGTGGGAAGGGGAAGGTGGCGTCCCTGCACTCGCTTACCACCGGTGCTTCCTTCGCTTCGAGGAAGATTTGGAAAGGAACGGGTGCCACAAAGAAGAGGGATGGTGACGAGTTCGTCGCTGTCACCGATCCTGGCTTCCTCCCTCGGGTTGAACCGCATCAAGACGAGTTCAGGGCCACTGCCTCGGGAGGCTTTACGGGAAAGCAGGATCACCGGAATTGGGAGCAGCAACCTTAGAAGGGAGGGGAGCTGCTTCACTTCCTCTTCGGCGGGCACGGCTGCGCCATCCGCTTCGGCTCTTTCAGGAGCTGGGAAGAGTAGCACGAAGAGGAAAGATTCTCGGGGGCTTGAGACGGTTCCGGAGGTGCATGTCAGCTCGTGGGCTGATCAAGGGAGGAGTCAGTGCGATCGCACTCTGCTGAATGAAGTAACATTGGCTACTTCTATAGGTATGCTTCCTCCCTCTCTATGCTGATTATGTTTTTGATACATGTGCATTTATGGGTTTTCACTGCTTTCATGGCTGCCTGCCGGTTGCCCCTTCGAAAAAAATCCAAATTGTTTCTTTTTTGGTAATTTATGAGAATGCCTGTAAATTTTTGCAGGAAAGTATGACTTGCAATCAGTTGTCACCATTGAAACAACTCAGTGATCTGCTTTTTTTGTAATCCACGAGAATTTTTGGTAAGTAATGAAGGATGATCAAGTATCATTGTAGCTCTTCCCAAGAGCATGTAGAAGTGTTAGTTCACCGTGTCAGGTGTCACATTGAGATTTCAGGTCCTGTTAATAATGATTGTTTTTAAATTATTTTTTAGTCAATGTATAGAATCGTCAAAACATATACCTATGAATGCATTGCCCTGCTCTTGATAAAGCCATTCTGAGTTGCCAACTTTCGAGGGTAAAGTTATTGCTGTTTTTTTTTCTAAATGTTTGTTCTAGCCTGTTCTTAGATTTATTCGTGAGGCTGTTACTTATAACTCAAGTTAGACTATGGCGTTGTGTGTTTAATCAAAATTTGAGGCTGTTCTGGATTTCTTGAATATGGAGCAAGTCGTTCTAAAATTATATCATGTCAATTTGGGCTTAAGAATATTAGTATTTTCCAGCTTTGGTGATTTTTCTTTTGAGCAAAACAATTCATTGAATTTCACATGGAATTATAATTATTATTATTTTATTTTATTATCCTTCTCTTAGATAAGGTTCCAAGAGTTCTTTGAAGGGTTCTAGAAAAGAAAGGTGTTAATATGACATTCAAGTCATTAAAGATATGTATTCTATAGCTACTAATTGTGTTCGAACTGAAGGAGGATTGACCTAGTAATTTCCTATTTTAGTTGGATTACATCAGGGATCGGCTTTAAGCCCATATTTTTTTGCTTTAATCATGGATGCTCTTACTAGACATTTGCAGGATGATGTATGTTGGTGTATGTTTTAGCTAATGACGTCCTTCTTGTGGATAAGACTAGAGAAAGAGTTCAAGAAAAATTTGAATTATGGAGGTCTACATTGGAGTCTAAAAGCCTTCGTTTGAGTAGATTTAAAACTGAATACTTGGAATGTAATTTTAGTAGTAGCAACTTTAGTGACAGATTTGCAACTATGGGTGATCAAATCATTAAAACTGTGTGAATTTTTTAGATATGTCAGGTCTCTTGCTCAAAGTGATGATATAGATGGGGATGTTATTAGTAGAATTCAAGTTGGTTGAAGTAGAGGAATGTATTAGGCCTATTGTGTGATAGAAAAGTACCGCTTAGACTTGAAGGAAAATTTTATAAGATGGCGGTGAGACCTGTAGCGCTTTATGGTGCAGAATGTTGACCTTTAAAAGAGAATCATAAACCATAGCTAAGTGTTGCTGAGATGAGAATGCTTAGGTGGATAAGTGTCTTAACACTTAGAGATAAAATGTGAAAAGAATCTTTCTGTGAAAGGGTTGGTGTAGCTCCAGTGGCAGACAATATTAGTGAGAATCATCTTAGATGGTTTGTTCATATTAAATGCGGTTCATCTGATGATCCGTTTAGGAGAGTAGATGTTTTATGTTCGACATATGTTAAGAAAGATAGATGTAGACCTAGAAAGACTTGAGCATATTGTATAGAAATTAATCTCAATCCATTAGAGTTAAATGAAAATACGACACTTAATAAGACACAATGGAGAAAAAAGATTCTTGTAGCCGACCTCACTTAGTGGGATAAAAGCTTGTTGTTGTTGTTGTATCCTTCTCTTAGATATTAGAAATGATTTTTGTGATTCTTTCATTGATTGGGGGCACTATTGGAGTTAAAATTTGTGTCAATCAAAATTTAGAAGTTTTCTATAGTTATGAGAAGGTGAAGTTTCATTTAATTTTGAATAATCATCTTGTTTGATAAACCATAGCTAAAATAACTTATGTGCATCCAAAAGGTCAAAGAACAAGGAATATTTTTGACTATGTTATAGGCTTTTTAATGACCAATAGGTTTAGGCATTCAATGCTATTGTCAAATTATGTGTTAGTCAGGCAAGTGGCTCAATGGTGTCAACATGGACTTCTGCATTCCCAACCTCTTTTGCTAAATTTTTATAATTTTTATTTAAATTAATTAATGATTTTAAATGTGAGACTATTTTGAATCATATTTGAGGAGTCAAGGGACCAAGTATGACATCCTAAATAGTTTTGATCTAGGATGACAACCCATAAATATTCGGGGACCATTTTGAACATTTCCTTTACTCTTTTTAAAATATATTTTTAATTCCTTAATAGCTGCTCTTATCACATAATACTTTGGGGTATTTTCTACATTTTAACCTTTAAACTTTACCTTTGGAAGTTATGTTCTCATTTTGTTTACAATATTACCAAGTCAATTGAAACTTTCACTTAGATATCAACTTCTGTTCTAAAAATATTACTAAGGCCCTCAAAAACTTTATATCATACAGATTGTTAATTGAAATTCATTTCAATAATACTTTATACTGTAAAGAAAAATCATATTGTTGTTTGTTAGCTATTTTTTTGGTTCTTGAACTCTTTGTTAGGGGATAAATGCATCTAGGTGGATGAAACTAAAAGTTCTGAAGGCTCCTTGGGATGATTTTCTACATTGTCGTCCTTGCTAATAAACTTATTCTTTTATGTGATCAACATCAGGTCATCAGTCTCTAAATCTTTATTTATTTATTTATTTTTTTGAGTGCTTCTATGTAACTCATTGTATAGTTTCTTGCCCTTCACAGCATTTTAGTTTTATTTTGTCTATGAATTAGATACAAGGTTTTCTAAACAATCTCGATCCACATTTCTGATGAGCACCGCCTTCTACAAATCATGTGGGGTACCTGTTGATTTTTGTTTCCACCTTACTTGTTTTTCCATGGACTCATTATTTCATAAAACTTTTATTTGAATATCCATTTGAAATATAGGTAGCTCTATATGACTCTATATTAATGAATTTGTATATCCAAGAACTGTAAGCGCCTTGCTAGTTGTTATAGGCAGTGCCTTCTTATGGTTAGAAGTGAAGGGGTAAACGCATGATCTTGCAGGAGTGTTGCTCCTTTTTTTTCTTCATCCATTTCATAACCATATGTGGACAGATAAAACCTGACTACTTTGATGCTGCATCTTCATGAATCCTATTCTGTATTATTTTCTTTAACTAAATGATTTATCCTTTTTACTAGTTAATAAGCAAGTTATTTTCATCAGCTCCACTATTCTCTCCATTTTTGTGCTGTTATTTTATCTTTCCACCTATACTTTTACTGCTTTAGCTCTCCAACATGCGTGTACCACCTTAATCTGCTTTCTTTTTCCTTGACTGAGGTTTCCATTCAAGCGGTCAAACACTGTAACAGAGGAAATATCTATGTTAAGCTTTCTTACTAACCTGTTAACTGCTAATATTATATAAAAAGAGTCACGTGATAGACTGCAACGGTCCTAGCGAAAGCTATTGTAAGATTTCGTCTTATGGTTTCTCTGAAGAACATTTTGTTTGAAACTCACAAGCACGCATTGAAAGAAACATGGTTGCCTTCTTATTTTTATTTTAATATCCTAATGAAGCACCGGGGAGGCTTTTCCGGCTATGGTTACATAAGAAGGTGTATTATGCTTAATGAATGCTTGCATGCACGTGCACATAGGTTATGAAGAACTATAACGAAAAATAATTTGTCTAAAGGTTTATTGACTTGCTTTTAACCAATTCTTAATCATTCTAGACACGGTTTAAAATCGTGCAATATGTGGCTTGTCTCTATGCATTTTTTAATAATTCATAATGAGGCTTTCTCCCATTATATACTACATGAAGCTCATAAAAAGAGTCACGTGGTTAGTTGAAAGGAATTCATGAAACTATTCAGGGAATTGTTTGTACCCCTATCCACTCGACGATAAATGTAGGATAGGTTCATCAAGTTAAGGCAAGGAGAAAAGACGGTCATGATGCAGTAAGAAGCATAATTCGTAGCACAACTGAGGTATGCGCCACAGTTGTTTACTACTGCAAAGTAAAAATGTTACAAATTCCTTTCAGAATTAAAGATTTGATCAGACAGCCGTTGGTACTTTAGGGATCGATGAATATTTGATATTAATTGAATGAGCTAAAAGAGTGAAGATTGACTATCAGCTTACTCAAAAGCGTAAGGAGACGCACAAGAGAAAGACTATAGAAGAACATGTAGATCTATTCGAAGGAACTAATAAGAAGTCCAACAATAATTCAGGCGGCTTTAGCAGAGGTAAGACTCATAGTACTAGCGTCACTCGTGTCAAATGCAGAAGACAACATAAAGGGGAATGTTTGACGGGCTTTAACACTTGCTATTGGTGCCGCCAACCTGGTCATATAATAAAATATTGTCTATCTCTTGGCCAAAAGAGCGTTGAAAATTAGAAATCAGGTGGAGCTTTGTCACATAAGACTGCAGGTGAACAGATGAAGATAGAGTCTATTGCTTTAGCTCCTATCCAAGGTTAACCAAGGCAATCTGTTCTACCTCGAGTATATTCTCTTGCTTATAGTATGTCTGAAGAACCTACTACTGTTGATGGTGATGAGGTTCAATTTGTTCGACGATTTCTTATATAATAGTATTTCCCTAGCATAGTTTCTTGTTTCAACATTGTATTCCGAAGTATAGTTGAGTCGCCTTGGATTGAGTCTTTACCTTTATAGTGATTACTTTTCATATTATTGAATGACCCCTAGTTTCATGGATAACAAATGTTGACCTGCTTATGGAGAAGCAACTTGAGGTCTGTTTATAATATTTGATGACTAAATTTTTGTAAGTGGTGAAGATTGTAATGGTTTTGTTACACAGAGGAATGGGAAACGACAAGTCGAGGAAGAGGGAGGGGTTGGGTAAATGAACAGAAAGGAGATGAAGCGAGGTGTTGACAGTTAGAGGGAGATGAATCGAGCAGTCGAGAACTTAGAGGACACTTTCGTTCTATAAAACATTGCTAAGAGGAAGATAATGCAAGTCCAAAGAAGAAGAAGAAAAAAGAAGAGAAAGGAGAAGGGGCAAGGAAAGTTGCACCTCACCTGCGTGGAAAGGTCGAACGTAACAGAAGAGACGACATCAGTGGTGAGCAGAGGAGGCGTCGACGTTGAGTATTCGTGCAGGAAGGAGCTGAAGTTGAGCCAACGATGTCGTGCTCGCGAGCAGAGAGGAGGCGGCGTTAGAGACGGCAGTATCATCAGGTAGTGATCCTCGCGTGTGTTGGCGTGCAAAGGAGGAGACGGAGTTGGGTGTGTTTCTGCAGTGTGAAGGATACATTTAGGGCAACCGAGGTAAACCTTAAATTGATTTAATAATATATATA